CTAGCCTCACTCCGGTGTCGATAAACAGTATCCTGAATACCTGTATAAGCATGTCTCGGAGTGCGACGTTATCGTCGTATCGCCTATTCACCTCCAGCCGACGTATAGACGGTCATTCCTCATACCTTACGCGTCTACTTAGTGGCATTTAAGCAAATTCCCCGGTTCTTGCTCGGTGTCGCTAAACAGCCTCGCACCATCGACGAGAACAGTTTTGACGTAAGCTCCGGCTTAACGCAACGACATTAGGGTCGGTTTAACCCCTTCAGGGATAATGGGATAGATGCCATTGTGTATAGCAAAATGTGTTTCCTCGAGCTTCTATTTTCGAATGCTTTGTTACTTTGGGAGCAATTAACCCTTTGCGCTCGAGAGGTGACTTTCAGTCGTCATTAGGTTTCACGCAGTAAATGTATGATATTTAATGTTTCTTTAGGTTTAATTTCTTTGGAGCTTGAAGTGTTGATAAAATGATTGTCGGCGAGGTAAAGGTGACCTTGTTTTCACATCTAGATAGATGTGAAGATTCATGGCACTAGAATGCTAAGAAATATCTCGAATTGTTGGCAGGTAACAGAGAAAAGGCCTCGAGTGCAAAGGGTTAAACAGTTGCAGGAAGAGTTTTCGATTGTGGTTGGGGCAAGCTGGGCAGAGAAAGTGTTTATTCGTTGAAAGCGCGAGTTATTAATGTGGAAACTAGGCTCTTAAGGAATAAATGTATTCGTAAATAAACGCGTGAAAGGTGAATCCTTTGCACTCGAGAGGCAACAGTCTTTGTTTAGATTTCGATGAATCTTGAAGTATTCGTAGCGATACTGGTTCATGTATAGGTTCCTAACCTAGAAACTGGCACACTTTGAAATAGTAGTAACATGTTTTAGTTCCACTGTCTTTGTTTATCTTAGATTTCGTTGAATCTCGAACAATTCGTAGCGATACTGGTTCATGTATACGTTCTTAACCTAGAAACTGGCACACTTTGAAATAGTAGTAACATGTTTTAGTTCCACAGTCTTTGTTTATCTTAGATTTCGTTGAATCTCGAACTATTCGTAGCGATAGTGGTTCATGTATAAGTTCCTAACCTATAAACTGGTACACTTAGTAGTAATATGTTTTATTTCCACCACTCTCCAATGATAGAAAAATATTTGACGTCTAAAGTGTTAGCTCTCTCTAATGGAACTCTCGTCAATTACAAAGAGTTAATGGTTGGAGAGTAACTTCAATGTATTTTAGCTTTCTTTATCTTTGAAACTATATACAGTATTTATTCGTTAAAAGCTCGGATTCTTAAAGTGGAAACCAGACACTTGAATAACTTCAATATTCATAAATAAACACACGATAGATTAAAGCCTGGTAGACCAGTCTGAGTTTCTAATAGCGTTTTTTGAAAATAAATACAGTATTTATTCGATAAAAGCTCGAGTTCCTAAACTGGGAACCAGACACTTGAATAAATTCTGTACTCATAAATAAACACACGGGAGATTACAGCCTTGGAGAGCAGTCTGAGTTTCTAATGGTGATCTTGGAAACTAAATACAGTATTTATTCACTAAAAGCTCGTAAATATACTTCCTACAATTTTTAAATACCTCAACGAATTTGTTGGCGTTGATACGCTGGTTGTAAATGTGTATAAATTGAATCGCAATTACAAGCAACACCCACGATTATCAACGTTGGGAATCTCCTACGCGCAAATTTAACGGTTAATTTAGATCTGATTGCGATTTGATCATGCTCCAATTCTAATGTTCCTTTAATTGAATCCATAGTTAACCTCTACTGCATCACAGCGCTAATTTCAATCCTACTCCTCACCACAATTCGAGTCTTGGTTAAGCTCAGAGCTACAGACCAATTAGCGTACAAGTTGAATATAACGCATGGTCAGCAACACGGGCTAATTTCATTACCTTACGCTAAATACAAAAAGATCCTTCTGGACGATGTTAATTCGCAAGAAGTTAGAGCAGCAGCTGCATTATTTCAAAGCGTTTAAACACTCGGCCCTTTGCATTGTGATTCTACTCTTTACTTTTGCTTTAGTGTTTGTTCCAATTAACTAATACATAACTCCTAACCTAGCTTTGACCTGAACCGAAATGCGAGTGAAGGCGGTTTTTAGGCAAGCTTTGGCGATTCTTTTTAGGTTCGTGTCCGCGTTGACACGATCAGCGTAGCGATCGGACTGTTGGAACACGTGACGCGTCGCATCGTGGCGACGTAGAAACAAAAGCGAATCGACATCTTCGATCTATTACCAAGATGACCAAAAGCGTGCCGATTACGATTTTCTAACAGGATTAATTCGAATGTTTTAAAAATTCGAGTACGTAGCGCAATAAATGATAATTGCCAATAAATATGAAATGTATAATTTCACGCAAATGTTACCAAAAATTCCCATTAAAATCATGGAAACGTGATAAATGTAACTTGGATATGTAGTCACCTTGTTTCACGAACGAGACCAAATTTAATTGATTTTTTAAAATGATAAAATTACTCGGAACCCTGTCACGAATATTTGACACGTTTCATGCGATCTCGGAACTCTTTGGACATTATATTTTAAATGTTGTACCTGTTCCATCGGCTCGAACACGAATTATTAATTAAGCGTATACATGCTGTATGATGGTGCATTATAAATGTGGCGTCTAATTTTAAACGCATGCCGACATTTTACGTTATTATTCAATATCGGTGAACATTTGAAATTGAGAACGAAATTTAAATAATCGAATTCATAAGTTTTAGTGCTTTACGTGGGTACCACGAAACAAGTTATACAAGTTGGTCAAAAATAATCTATTAATAGAATAATGAACGTATTACGTGTCTTTCGTTCGCTTATTTTTCGTCCGTACTGACAGACTCGATTTATACGTTTTCCTACAGGGAGGAAAAAAAAATTGATGTAGGATGTATCCTGCTCGTAAATCGAGAAACCAGTTTACTCTTCCCCATGAAAAAGGAAGCAGCCATCAGTGTTCTCTTGTCTGGAGTACATAGAACTTTAATTAATTTTTTGTTGCACCAGAGAATCGTTTCTGTCCGTACCATCGCTCGTTATTGTAGATAAAGGAATAATAACAATATTGAGTCGCTGTAATCTCAGCTTACTTTTTCCAATAGTTTCGTTTTGTTTTTGTAACTTTTGTTCGAGCAATCTCGCGACTAAAATCGAGATATTTATTCTCACTTCAAACGTCGGAAGCTTAAATTTCCATCTGTTTTCCGATGTAATAGCTACTTGATATTAGTGTACTACTAGATCGTAGTAATAGGACGGTTATTTTAAAAATTATTGATTTTAATGCATTCAAACGAGAACATTGTTCAAGTAAACACTATTTTTTATAAAAAGGACTATTCGAAACAACAAAAATTCCATTTAGAAATATGGATCATTGGAAGAGAAATAAAATATCACATGGAAGAACCTACCCAACAAAATAGTTTGTAACAGTTTTGAGAGACTCACCCTGTATGTATAATACAGACTGTTAGGAAAAATATGGGACCTTATATCGGGAATAATTCCTCGCCTAAAAAGAAATCGAAAAGTCCTTTACCATTCCGTAATCCGAAGCTTAGTTCTCTAGATATAGACGAATAAAGTTTACTAAGGAGATTCCTGCCGCGCGCCATTTTATATCACGCGCCATTTTATGTCACGCGCCTGCACACACGGTTCAAACTTTAACTGCTCGTATCTCGATAACGAAGCTTCGAATTAAAAAGTGGAAATGGACTTTCTGATTCATATTTGCATAAAGAATCGATCTCGAGTAAAGGGAGTCTCGTATTTTCGTTAGTATTCTTCATTTCAACGCATATTTATAATATTACGAAACTAGTACCCACAAAAACATAGATCCACGCTGTTTGCTCGATCCCATCACTAGTTTCATTGAATACCGCCGAAGTCAAAGAATCTAAACCATCGACCAAAGCACTAAAAAGGTGGAGAGTTCCCTTCAAACGGTGCAACTGGCGTAAGGTCTCCCAAGTCGATTCTTTTATTGACTGAACGGTAGGCTTTCTCCTGTTTACAACACCGCTCGCCGCGCATGCATCTTTCATTCTCTTTGCACTGGAGTTTTGATCTTCTTCTTTTACTGTCGTTATCGTAAACTTTACCATAACTGCTACATTTTCCATTTGCCCTCAAGACGAGCAGCGATGCGCCTTCGAGGTGATCTGAATGTATACCAGAGGTTGTAATCCATCTCAGGCGTTTACAATCGAATGGGAACAACAGTTTGCCACAGTGGAGTGCGTTGTATAGATAGAATGATCAAACAATAGATCTTGCTACACCTGACTTCGTAAAACTTTCCTTGGACTTCTTTCCAGGTATTACCAACAGATTAATAATTGCAACTATAAAAGTAACATTATTAGGATGTCTTCTAATGGTATGGTTTATGGCTAGATCTTTGTTCGTTGAGTGCCGAACAGCGAGTGATCCCTTGTCCGTCTAGGTCCTTGCCTATTCGGCTCTTGTTTATAAGACTGGCGCCTTATCGCTCAGCCTTTTTGGTAGCGTGGCCGGCCGAGTTGCTTATATAGGATCCGCGGCTTCTTTGATCGAACTTTTGTCACACAGGTCATTTCATGATTCACAAATTCAATTGGACAATAGAACAGACGGTTCGAAGTTTCTCTCATCAAAATATTGGGTAGAAAATAAAATGAAGAACTTTGACAAATATTCTGAATAGTACGAATAAAAAGATGTTGGATACATTAATACATTCATCATCGAAATATGAGGTGGGCAATAAAAAGTAAACCTCCAAAAAATGCTCCGAATGTTAAAAAATAAAAAGATGCTGGAGATATTAATACATTAAAATAACGTGTAGGAACTGTTGTAAATAATTTGCAGAAGTGTTCCATTTCGACCTAGCCGAACGATTACACCTCGAACAACTGGTTACCTAGGCAAATGTTTCGGATGAAACTTACTCTGTTTCCAGGCGGACATCTTGTGGTCAGCACAGTTTTGTTCCGGATGGCGGCGTCTCCGAAGTTTCCAATAGTTTGCGAGGTAATCACGTGGAACGATTAAAATGGAACACCCGTTGGAGCGAATGTACAACACGCGAAGTCAAGCGAAGCAGATTTGTAGAGAAATAGGGATCAATATTAAAAGAAACTTTGTTACAACCAAGAAACCTTTTTATTATATTGTAAGTTTGAATTAGTATTAATCTGATGCTAGATTTTGAAAATGTGTTAAAAGTCCTGACTTCATTTTCGATAGTTCCATACTTCTTGATCAATGAAACTACTAGCTCTATTAAATGGAACTAGTGGATAATTTTTTAATCAATTTTAAGTGTGCAAATCTACCTACAGAAGTATTAAAAATGAAGTCGGAGCTCTCAATTATTAACGAGCTTTCACAAAGTGACCCGGTGTAGTTCCACACAGACCTCCCAGCTTGAGCTATTTGTTATTCGAGTACAAAATACGGATAGATCCTGAAGAGGCGAGAGATGAAGGGACGTAGTAGCCAACCAACCCAGCGAGGATCGCCTCTTGGTTGACTCTGATCCGACTATAACCAGTTAAGTGCATGTTGCCAGTCCAGCACCCCGTTAGCCAGGTTTCAAGAGCTTTGGTCCAGATATGCTTTCGCCACTTCTGAACAGATGTTAGAGGACTAGCTTATTGCTGTTACAACGATAACTTTTGCACCTACGCCATAGCCGAGGCGTAACACGAACAAACGACACGACACAATTTCCCTCTGCTCGCGAGAGCGCTGGTAGTGCTAAATTTTTACGGCGACGAATCTCTTTTATCGACGATAGTAAAAATGTTCCGACAATAAATTCATTTACCTGGTGAAGTGCGATGTTATTGTAACTCTAGTCTTGCGCGAGGAGCCTGAACGAGCTGGGAGCGAGTAAAACAGTGTCGTTCGCTCCAGTAAAAAAAGTAACTGAGGAAATAACTGTTGGATTATTTTTTCTCTTGTGCTCGATAGCTATGTACGATGGCTGCTGAGTCAGAATAGGTTTCTGGTAGAGTGTGCGGTATTTTATGGTGAAGGAAAAGTAGAGAGGATGGGTAGAATGACGTGTTTGCGTTAGTGGCGTTGGTGGCGCCACTAGTTTGCGTTGGTGGCGCCACTGGTTTGCGTTGGTGGGGCCACTAGTTTGCGTTTTATAGAGAAACCTTAGCTGTGCTACGCTACTAGCGCCATAAGTTTGCAGCCTCGCCGCACGGTGGAACTATTATGCCGCCCAGTTTTACTGTAAAAAAATACGTAAAATTGGCTTCTTCTGCATTTACTCTGTAGCGAAGTGTTACTCAGTTTTAAAGGCTCGTGCACCATCTGCTTAAGATGAATTTTTTGCAATTGAGGAATTAAATGGAGACACTTTTGATCTAATTTTAATTTAATGTATAGTATAATATATCTAATTATCATTGCTTTAATAAAATTCCAAGATATTCTGAATGCTCAGTCAAGTGTTTTCTTTGAAAGTAAAATTTAATATTCTTATTTAATAATGTCAATGTCAATCCTCTTTGTTTTATTTTATGTTTACTAGAGTACACATAGATTTTAATTAGAATTTGAAGTATTATATTTTTAATTTAATGAAGCTTGCCACAGACCACAGTGGCTGTTAATTATTATTATTATCATAACAAAGCATGCCGTTTTTATTTGATGTGGAACCAAGGAACATAAACAAAACAATATTAATTAACGTCAATTCCTCAATTGCCAAATGTCAGTTCTAAAAAAGTTCAAAGAAAGTTTGTTAATTTGTTCCACTACTTTACTTTAAATTTATACATGAATATTGTACATGAAATAAAGCATTTTGCGCGAATGAGTGCAGGATCTCACTTCTAATCCGTTGCGATCGACTCATTGTCAATGATCTATGAGAACGTGTACACGGATAGACCAGTTATGATACGATTTAGTCACTTAGAGGTTAAACATTTTCTTAAGATGCGATGCGTTACGTTAACGTCTCTCGTTTAAAGGTGATCCTGTGTCATTTTTCTTTTTTTTTTTCAGAAATTAAACTAACTCACACTGTTCGATCGTTTCGTATCTCCGCAGAGAAACTGTCGTTTCCTTTTTTAATTGTTCACATAATCTTCCAGGAACGCAACATTCACGATGCACAAACTTCATTCCGTTCATTTAATTTAAAATTACAATAATTTTTTACAACCTTATTTAACGATGCATCATCGATGCCTCTGCTTCACCGTGGTGGCGCTTACCTCACAATTCTCGTTTCACACCGTCAACTAGAACGAATCAACACGTCGAAATTCCCCATAATTACACATTAAAAATCGTCCTACGTATTTTCTGTCGCAATCCGACTGCGACCTGTCGCACTGGTGTACACGGACGAACACATCTCCCTTATAACAACAATTAAAGATGATTCACGGTGATTGCGAGGATAATTGATCGTTACGGACCGCACACATACAACGCATTATTATTGCTATAAAGTATGAAACATTAATATGAAGTGTTCATTCGAAATTTTGTAACAGATTGGTTTTGGGTGACTTATGTATAAAATAAACTTAGATAACATGTATTAACACGTTCGATGAGGTATGGGACATATTGTGTACAGGATGTTGATAAAAACATGGAATCTATTCCGCAGGTCGATTCATCGCGAGAAAAGAGAGCGAAAAGTTCTTTACCATTTTGCAATCCGACGCTTCGTTACCGAGATATGAGCAATTAATGTTTGTAGTGTGAATCTTGGCGCGCCATTTAAGTCTCAGTCAGCTGATCGCGCCACTGCACATGCGCTCACGTACGAGAAACTTTAACTGCTCGTATCTCGATAACTAAGCTTCGAATCGCAAAATGGTAAAGGACTTTTCGATTTCTTTTTTCACAAGCAATTGACCCCAGGTCTCATATTTTTACTAACCTACAATGTCTAGCTACCGCAGTGAACGTGTTAACAAATAAACTTCTACTTTCGTGTAGCAGCATATAGAGCGTTTCTTTTAACTGAGTTAGTCTGTGATGGTCAAGTTAAAAGAAACACCGTATATATCGCAGGTAATCCCAAGTATTAAACTATTTCACATAACAACATGATATGACCAAGGAAACAGATCATTAGTATTCGAAGTAGGATAACTTTTCACGTAACATTCATCGTGCATTTAATGCGTAATCTAAAATTAGCTTCGTAAATTCTTCATCCATTTCCATTCAATCAATCTCGTACAGTTCGATAACATTAATCACGTGACTTTGCGTGTTCGTCGCACTCAATTAGGAAATAAATAATGCGCCTCCTCGAAACGAACACGTACGATCCTAGAAACGTTGGGAAAGTATACTGTTACAAAATTTTCACGGTGGTATCGCAAGTTCGTCGACGATTAATTACTACAGCGTTCAGATTTCGCAGGCAGCCGCTCGCACGCTCTCACTTCGCATTTACAAAGCCGGATATTTGAAATCAATCGGTCAGACTATCGACTTCCGACGATGATTAATCACTCGCGCAGACATTCAATTGACTAAAGTCGCAGTATAAACATATTGAGAGACGCCGATCAACGCCAACACGTTGAAGTAGCTTCCTCGACGCCAGACGGACAGTTTACCCAACGATCGGATTTACCAATGGACGCTGGAGTGGCTCGCAAAGCAGGCAATTCGATCGCGACAATGTTCTCGCTTTGAATGTTCGTTCAAGACGGCAGTCCTCGAAGGCAATCGAGCATCTTGGAAACGTCTACGATGAAAAACGGTGAAGTGCCTCGATCCTTATTGATACAAGTGGCCGCGATATAACTTTTGTAATTTCCTTAAGTAAGATTCCTGATACTCTCGGATACTGTGCATGTGTAGCATCGGGTTCAAGTTTAACCTCTTGGAGTGAGGCAATGAAACGTGATAACATCAATCGAGTTGCACAGAATTTCATTCGTGTGTACGTAGCTGTTCGAATACAGGGTGTACCAAAAATGTTGGAGTCCTTGAAAGGAGTGGTTCGAGTGAGCGATTTGAAACGACTTTTTCCTTAGCGAAAATGTCGTCTGAGGCTTCGTTAAGGAGATATTAACAAAAAACCCCGGGCCAATCAGAGCGCGGCTGCCTAGCGCGTAGCCTATGCCACTGCGGGTGCTCCACCGCCGTACTCGCGCTCTGATTGGTCGTGGTTTTCCGTTAATAACTCCATAACGAAGCCTCGGACAATATTTTCGCTAAGAAAAAAGTTGTTTCAAATCACCTCTCGAACCTCCCGGGACACCCTGTATATAATTTAAACCGTACCATTTGATACACGAGCTGTTCGTTGCACAAATCGGCCATAAAACAGAAAGTCGAGAAATGCGCCGAAATAATGTACATTGTTTTTAAAAATTCCCTTTGTACTATAAATTCAAATAAATGTTGTAGAATGCATAAACGCAGATGTAGATTTCATCTAATGGCGTGTAAAATTAATAAAAAAAAGCAGTCAAAAAATAGTCGTCAGTAATATTACGATTTTTATGTGGCTGGTGGAGTTAATCGATTTTTGTGCAGTGAACGGCTCGTATGATAGTGAGAAACGAACGTTAGACTGATTTTAGTGTAATATAAGATGTGAGATCAATTTTTTAGACCGAGCAAAAGATTCTGGGTGTAGTAAGTCGAGTAAATAGGTCGAGAAATAAAATTTGTTAGAGATAGAAGCGATTGTATTTGCTAGTGGCGCCACCATTGGCGCCGGCGCCTGTGCCAGTGGCGCAACCACGGCGCAGTTACGTCTGCATGTGGCGCCACTAGTTTGCGTGTCTGCCACGTGCTCACGTGGCCATAATAGTTTGCTCTACTCTATACCGGGAATTTTACTTTATAATAAAACAAAGAAAATTCTCCTTGGTTATTTATACACTTCTTGTGAAAATTAAGGGAACACTGTAATTAAATTAAATTAAATTAAATTGATTTATTTATATTTTCCCGAAAATTTCGGTCATTTCCAAATGGCTGTATCTCTACGGAAAATGGTAACAACTTCCTCATTTCTTTTGATAGCGAATAACTTGGCCAATACAAATCGTACAACAAAACCAAAAGTATGAAATTAAAGAGAAATGTTTGCTCTACAAGAGACTTTCATTGGATTTATCCGAAAAAAATTTTTTTGGTTAGTACACACGATCAAACTAGGAAAAAATTTCTAAAACTTCGTTTCCTGCGCTTCATCTTGATAAATCAGTATTATAATTGACAAAAAAAATTGAGTCCTTGATTCAGAAACTAGAAACTTCAAGATTTAAAATGCGTTTTTTAAATATTTTTTGCGACCATTTTTCACAGAGATACAGCCGTTTAGAAATTACCAAAATTGTCGGGAAACTATAGTGTTCCCTTAATTTTGACGAGGAGTGTATATCAATAAATTGTTTATTTCTCTTCTTCAAACGATAAATGTCTAACTCTGCATAGTTATTTAACATATTCGCTGTCAAAAAATGAGTGACAGGACTTTTCATTAAAGAACTAAAAAGAAATATTCAAAAGTGAAGTAAAGCACAGGATTTGTGAATTTGAAGAGACTAAACAATTAAATACAACAACAAATGTTAAATTATCTAATCTTCAACAGTCTCAAGACAAAATGTTAACTTCGTTAAAATTTTAACGAGTTTTAGTCTAGTCTTAAACAACTCCACGCGAAATCAACACACCAGAACAAATCAAGTACAACTCCAACACTAAATTTTGCAAAAATTATTTTTATAAGATTCCCTAAAAAACTGATGCATAATGAATTGAATACTTTCGAGAACTGCTGCTTTCAAAGCTCACTCCCAACAACCCTCAGCGTCCATCGCAGCGATTCGAAGCGTTTTGGACCATCGCACCAAGCCTCATCCAAATTTATCGCACTCGGTGTCGCTAACCACGTCGCAATATTCATACTGCACAATATCGATACACAATACTCCACTCCATCTTTCCTTGGTAGGAATGCGATTCTGTCCAACTGCGCACTCGAGGTACTTTGTGTCAGAAATCGCGTCGCAGCACGTTGGAACGTTCGTCGGTGCTCCGCGCGCCATTTTGGGACGCTGTGTGCCTAATGCTAGAACTTATCGAGTCTATTAAACGTACACGGATATGTGGTGGCCTCGGGTGCCGATCCGAAGTCAACGATCTGCCGCGGTGAACTCGCTCTCGGTTCGCTCCAGAAAATTTTCTTGAATTTATATACGAGCGGGCGACGCGTTGAAACGAGCCGGTTTGTGGAAGTCGAAATAGTATTTGTTTATTAATCGTTGAGACTTTTGGGTGGAACATGGAGTACATTATACGGCTCTGGAATAAATGAAACGCGATGGAGGTTTGATTACTTGAAAGAGTCCACGTTGAGAGTATTATCGACGAGGGGACTGGTCATATTGCTCCAAAATTGAGTCTCCAAAATTGATCTACTTGGAATGTACGTAT